GGAGGAGGAGGAGGAGGAGGAGGAGGAGGACGAGGAGGAGGAGGCGGAGGAGGAGGAGGACGATAGGGCAGCACGCCCGCGCCTGGCGTCACGGGACCGGCGCAGATCGACCAAGTCTCGGAGACGCTCCTGCCGCTGAGCAAGCGGCCAGCCAGCGGCATGCGATGGTGGGCCTCGGGGTCAACCCTGGGAGCGGGGACTGGATGGGAAACCTCGCAGATCGGGGAGGATTTGGAGGAAGTAGGGAAGATCAAGGATCGAGGTTTCGTGGATAGGGGCTTCAAGGGTCGAGGAGCATCGAGGATGATCAAGGATCGAGGTTTCAAGATGCGAGGAAGGCGATGATGATGCTGATGCTGATGCTGGTGCTGGTGCTGATGCTGATGTTGTTCCTGTTGTTGTTGATGATGATGATGATGCTGATGCTGATGATGATGCTGCTGATGATGATGATGATGATGATGCTGATGATGATGATGATGATGATGATGATGATGATGATGGTGATGATGATGATGATGATGCTGATAACGATGATGATGCTGCTGATGAAGATGATGATGATGATGATGATGATGATGATGATGATGATGATGATGATGATGATGATGATGATGCTGATGCTGATGCTGATGATGCTGATGCTGATGCTGATGCTGATGGTGATGATGAGGAGGAGGAGGAGGATTTGGAGGGGCGAGGGGACGGGATGGGAGGGTCCTGGGCCGAGGCTTCACGGACCGAGGCTCGAGGGTCGAGGTCTCAAGGATTTGAGGCCTTGGACGTCTGAGACACCTCTTGGTGCCTCCTTGTGGCGCCGCGTCGCCGCGGCCGACCTCCCCTAGGAGCTCCTGGTCGGAGCGCACCCGGGGGGAGCTCCCGCGGCCGAGTCTCGAGGCCCAGGGCCGAAGCCTCCCTTGTCACGAACGCATCGAGGCGGCCGCGTTTTTTTTGTTTTTGTTTTTCTCTCCTCACCCCCCCCACCCCCAAAGCTTCAATGTTGGGCTTCTGGAGGTCCGCCTCGATCCCAGGGATGGGCCGCGGGTTCCAGAGAGCCAAGTCACGAAAAGACCTCGCGTCGGACGTCTTGGGAAGGAAGGGTTTCCTCCTCTTGCTCCTCCTCCTCCTTCTCCCCCTTCTCCTTATCCTCGTCCCCCTTCTCGCCCTTCTCTTCCTCCTCCTCCTCTTCCTCCTCCTCCTCCTCCTTCCGTAGCCATTTTGGCTCAAGCCATTTTGGCTCAAGCCAACTTCATGTTAGGACGTGGCCCCACACGCGCTGCTGCACGCCCCAAGCATTTCTCCTGGTTGCGATGTCTGCCGCTGTATCTGAGTGTGAATGTCTGCATGGTGTACCGCCGCAGTGTGACTAAGCTTGCCGAGCGACGCGCCCGCGCCATCGAGCGTGGATTTCTACAACCTGTTCCTCTCGGAGCTCGCCATGTCGCCGTCCCTCAGCAGTTGGCGCCAAATGCACGTCGCGTTCTTCGCGGGCTCAGCCTTCATCATGAGCTTCGCCGCCAAGGAGCAGCTCAGCGACTTAAAATTCAAGGAGTACCTCCGCGAGAACACGAACTACGGCAAGGCCAAGCACCGCCTACGCCTGCAAGCGGATCCTGCGGTTGCTGATTCATCAGCCGCGCGCACGCTGCAGTTGGCTGATCTGCTGCCGCCGCCCAGCACACCCCGGGGAGGTCCTCCGCACCAGCCACACGTTCTACTACGACACGCCGCTCATCCACTACTTGCTCGGCCGCCGATCGTCTCCTTGGGCGTCTGCATGAACGACGACCTGCACCGCGTCGCCAACTTCATCCAACGGCTACGGGTCCCAGGGGAGGTTCGTGGAAGCGTTCCTAGTCCTATGCGGCATGGTGCTGGTCCTCTTCCGCCGCTCGGTCACGCTGTCCGCGTATTTGAAGATCGTGCTCTTACTGTAAGGCAGGGTGCTGGTCCTCTTCCGCCGCCTGGTCAATCGGACCGCGAATTTGAAGAACGTGCTGCTGCGGGTGGCTCACATGCATTGCATGTCCAACCTGTTCGCGTTGCCGAAGTGCGGGCTGTCGAGTGTGGACCTGATGGCGGGGACCGTCGTCCTACTGGTGATCGTGCCCCTCTGGCTGGCCGGTCGTTTCCTGAAGAACGTGAGCTTGTTGTTCAGGTTCCCCCTGACGCTGCTGCTCGTGCCGACCCTCACCGGGACAAGATTCCTGCCGAAGTTGTCCACGGCACCGCTCCTGTTCACGTGCCAGAATGTGCTGCCGACGTGGGCGCACATCCTCGCGTCCATGTCCTTCCTGGCCCGCATGGCGCCGTCGCTGATGTTGCAGAAGCTGGACGCCGCCTGGTCGTCCTGCTGGCCGACTCGGAGCAGATCACCGGCCACACCACGTACTCGGAAGCCAAGAAGCTCATGCAGCACGAGGCCGCATGGGTTCAGGTCGTGGAGGCGCGGCGCCTCCTGCTATAGGACACGTTCAATCTCCAGCTTTGGCAATATCATGATACCCAGTCCAACTCGGACGTGGGTTGTGAATCTCTGCACGACGATACCCTGGTTGAAGAAGTGGCTGACGCCGCCCTTCCCGAACAAGATCCTCCTGAAGCTGATCATGGAGCCGCTGCCGCTGCTCGCCCAGCCCGCGTGCTGCATGTTGATGCGTGCGACGACTATCCCGAAGGCGATTGGCATGAATGGGCTCTACCTGGTGCTCCGTACCTTCGCTGTTCGGCCGACGCCGACCTTCCCGAACAAGCTCTTCCGAGTGTTGGTTCATTTCTGCATACTGCGGCTGGTGACGGGCACGATTGGACGGTTCCTGGCGCGCTGTACCTTCGCCGCTCGGACCTCTTCCAACTTCGATGCTGCTGCTCGTCTCTCAATGGCCTGGCAGACGAATTGATATGCCCCAGTCCAGAGCTTCCACATGATGATCGTGCCGTTCTGCCGCTCGGAGTGGCGGATGATGCGCATGACGCTGAGGCACCCACCGCCTGTCATTGTAGCCCAGTGCCCCAAACCTTGGCACGCTTCATCCCGCTCCTCGTCGCTTCCTCCCATCTGCCCTGCGTCCCCCGCCCTTCCCACCATCCCTGCGTTTCTCTCGTTCCCGAATGCAGCTCATGACTTACATCCCTCCGCTCACCGTGTATGGCCCCATGCTGGTGGCCAGAGAGTCGAGCGTACAAAGTGCTTCCTGAGGTAGGCGTAGCGGCTGCAGGCAGGGAGCGCGACGAACTTTTCCATCTTCTCGCGTCTTGCCCGCTTGCCTTCGTCTCGTCTCTCTTTGAGTACGTGCATTCCTCCTCCTCCTCCTCCTCCTCCTCCTCCTCCTCCTCCTCCTCCTCCTCCTCCTCCTCCCCCTCCCCCTCCCCCTCCTCCTCCTCCTCCTCCTCTTCTTCCTCCTCCTCCTATCCTACGTTTCTCGCCGCGGCTGGACGCGGCCCGGCAAACGGGCCAAGGGGGTGTGCATGGGACGGGTCTGTGGACAGGTCTGTAGCGAACTCCTGGGGAAGGCTGCGGGAGGCAGGGAGGGAATGGAGGGAAGCGAGGGGAGGGGCAGGGAGGGGGCTCTGGGAGGGCAGGGCGGGGGTGGGTGGAATAGAGGGTGGGAAGGGGCCTGGCCAAGTTCCCAACAGGAGCGCCGCAAACTGCCTCGCTCACTCACGCCCGGCCTCCATCCAGTGCGCAGTCGTCTGGGAACCGGTGCAGACGCCAGGTGCGCCACACGCTCGCGGGGTCGAGGTGCGCCGCGCGCCAGGAGCGCCACGCGCACCAGGTGCGCCAACTGGCCCCGGGAGCCGAAGCGCGCGGTGCGCCACTTGCGCTGAGTGTGCCGCGTCCTTCAGTTGCACCGCCCGCGCGACGCGCGCAGAACGCGGCACGTGTGCGACAGCGTGAGGCAGCAGCGAGCTGGCGGACAGCACGTTGGCACCCCGACGTTCTTGCCAGAAGCCCATGCGTCGATCTAGGCTTCCTAGATGGGGTCGGAGTTGGTGGGGTCGGAGGATCGCGCCGCATCGCCGATGCATCGGCGATGCGGCTCGATGTGGGGCCCACTTTTCTCCACGCCGACGTCGCCGATGCATTGCTGACGTCGCCAGTGCATCGCCGATGCATCGGCGATGCATCGTCGATGTATCGGCGATGCGGTGAGATCTTCCGACCCCATCTACTCGTACCCTATCTAGGAGGCCTCTAGTCGAGGAGCCGAAGCGGCATGCGAATCCTTTCGTGGGGTTCCGCGCGGATGTCTCGGATCGGGCGCTGGCCCCCTCGCGCGCCAGGGAGGGGGGGTCCAGCGCCGAGGCAAGAACTTCGCGCGGAGCTCCGAGGAAGCATGCTCATGCTGTCAGGTGTGCCTCTGATTCAGAGTGGCGGCGTGGGGGAGTGGCGGGGCAGCGGACAGCATGCCCCACCGTCCCCGCAGAGGCCAGGGCGAAGCAAGGATGATGGGGCCCCCCGAGCGCGCGTGGCTCCGGGCTTGCCGCAGCAGCGTGCGCCCTGCATGGTTTTCTCTCGCTGCGGCGGCGACGCGAGGGCCTGGGGGCACGCGTTTTCGCGTCGGCGGCCGCTCGGGTGGGGGAGGGCGTCTGCGCGTCCAGCAGACAAACGCGCTCTGCAGGGAAGGGTGTCTCTTCGATGGCCCACAGTTCTACTGCGTCCCGCCTGGCGGCGATTGCCGAGTGGGCGTAGGCGGCTGCCGCGGCCCTCTTGCACCGCCTGCGATGGTCCCGTGGGCGGCGCCGCGGAGCGGGGGTCCGAGTGCTGCACTGGGAGAGCGGCGATGAGTGGTCAGTGGACGCATTCGTAGCCGCGGGTGGCCAGCAGCGCGAATGACGTTCGCGCGGCGATGGTCCATCGCAATTCCGACCAACATCCGACGTGAATTTGGCACAATTTCGACGCAATCCAACATGAGCCCGACGCACATTCGACGTGGACCCGACGCAAATTGGGTCTCAAGCTGCCGCGCGAGGCCTCCAGGATTTTCCTCACAAGTGTGGCGGGAGTGGGCAACCAGCCCCGGGCAGTCTTCGGAAGTCTGGGGGCGGTCTCGGGGCAGCTGGGAGACCACCGCAGGACGGCTGGTGGCCGCGTTGGACCGTGCTGTACGTTCCTCATCATGCTGCGCGAGCATTGTCAAGCATGAGGAACAGTTTTGTCCAATCAGGCCCCGTAGTGCTCCTCGGCCGCCTCCGACCGCGGCACCCGATCGGCGCCGCTGCGGCCAGCAGTTTGTTCTCCATGGCAACCGCAGGCCTCCGGCGCCCCCCCCGGAGGAAAGACACGCCCGGACACGGCCGGCGCCTCTGAGCCTGGGCCTGTCCTGGGCCCGGGCCTCCCGGGAGATCCGGCAGCGCACAGGTGATCGTTTTTTATTCATTGTTTTGCCGATCGGCGCGGGCCCTGGCCCCCCTCCTTCCCCCCTTGTGGTGTATATAGATCCTGGCTGCTTTTGGCACCTGTTTCGAGCAGGTGGGGGTCCTCCCCACAGGACGCACGGTTCCAAACAGTCGCACTAAGCAGAGGTCCAGAGCCAGACCCCCACCCCCTCCCCCAATTCCGCCCAATGTCGAAACGCCGAATAAGAAACCGCTCACCGGTACAGTTCCAACGTGTGTTGCGCGGTTCGGGCGCACACAGCGCAGGATCCACGGCAGCGCACGGCGCCCGCAGTCACCAGTCTCAAGCGTACGGTCGGGAATTTTTGGTCAGCGTGTCGCGCCGCCGGTTCGGGGCAAGCACGCCTCGGCGCGACACGGTAGCTTGAAGTCGGACCTGTCCTTCTACATGAGGAGTATTCAAAAATTTGGTAAAAAATAGTCAGGGGACTATTTTTAACATGTTGTGGACAATTTTGAAATATTTTGTATTTTCAATTTTTCCTCCAAAACCCCTCTGTAGAGGGACAGGCCCGACTTAACGGTAGCCGCGTCCCAGTCCACTGGCGCCAGCGTCCCCGAGCCTTTCCTGGCCTCCCGCCCCGCGGCGCGGAGCGACGCAGTGTCCGACGCTTGCCGGGGGACAGCGTGTCGTCGGGGCCGCCACCGCGGCGCGCGAAACAAAACGTCCCGACCGTGTCCCTGCTCGTGATTTGGTCAGGAGGGGAGAAAACACACACACAGACACAATGAGTCGTCGATTCCCGCAAAAATATTGGAAATATGGGAAGTGGGGGGAAGACGAAAACCCAGAAAATATGCGAAAATATTGGGAATCCTGTTATTTGTGTCTATTTAGTTGTGTGTCCCAGGGCCCCTTCAGATGGGCCGTCCGAACAGCGATGGCGACTTTTGGGATGCGCTCTAAGAGGCAGGGAGAATCCTTGAGACTGGCATCGAGAGAAGGCAACGCCAATCCACGGGATGGGGACATGTAGCCCAGCATGCACCAGAGCAGAATGCCACCACGCCGCCGGTTGGAGGACGACCGAGGGAGGACAATAGATTCGTGAGTCCTCTCTTGTTCGGTGCGACACGTTGGGCCCGAGACGTTCGGAGCCCTAGGTGTAAGCAAAAGCAGGAGGTCGGACGGGTGAGGTCACGCTCCCCCTTTGCTGACGTCGACCGGATCCTCTCCGACACCCGCCCCCCCCGTTTTGCTTGGCAGGACACCTCCTCGTCGTCGTCCTCCTCTTGATTGTTTTTGCATTGCTCGCACGTCGGCAATCAAGAACCGTAGCGTCTGCCTCCTCCTCATCCTCCTCCTACTCCTTCTGTTGGCGGTGCGACTCCCTGCCGTTGTCATCGTCGTGTTCCTTCTCCTCCTCCTCCTCCTCCGCATTGGGCAGGGTGGGCAGGTATTACAGCGAGAAGAGGTCGGTCTTCTGGAGCCCCGTGGACCTGAAGCTCTACGTGCTGGACCCGAGGGGGGGCCTCCGCCCTTCCCCCCCTCCCCCCCTGGTAGGCCCTCCAATACTGACGGCACCTCAGAGAAGTGGTTGCGAGCTGCCAGCGGGTGCCCCACGGAGATTTGTCATTCCCCGATGGCTCCAGAGACCCGCAGAAGCTCTGAGGCACCCTGGGGCTCAGAGATCGACGAAGCATGTGCTCCAACACTTCTTATCGTATGTGTGTCGCCGCGCCGTTGGTCCTCCACGCGTCCAAGCGGACAACGCCGACACCACGGCAAGCCCACTCTTCCTCCTCCTCCTCCTCCTCCTCCTCCTCCTCCCCCTCTTCCTCCCCCTCCTCCTCCTCCTCCTCCTCCCCCTCTTCCTCCCCCTCCTCCCCCTCCTCCTCCTCCTCCTCCTACTCCTCCTCCTCCTCCTTCTCCTCCTCCTCCTCCTCCTCCTCCTCCTCCTCCTCCTCCTCCTCCTCCTCCTCCCCTCCTCCTCCTCCTCCCCCTCCTCCTCCTCCTCCTCCTCCTCCTCCTCCTCCTCCTCCTCCTCCTCCTCCTCCTCCTCCTCGTGTGTACTTCTGTACTACAGGGAGCATCCACGCGCTCTTTGGTGTGGGGGGCGGACTTGCCGGGGCTTCAGGCCCAGCCCGCCGAGCCTCTCGGCGGCGACCATACGCCCAGGTCTCCGAAGGATGTGCTTTTCCAATCCTGGCGGCCTCGGCCTCCACTTCGGCCTCCACTTCGCCTCCGCGGGAGCCTCCTCTGGCCCGCGGGTTTCAGGCCCAGCCCTGCCGCCGAGCCCCTCGGCGGCGAGCATACGCCCAGGCCTCCGAGGGATGCGCTTTTCCAATTCCCGGCGGCCTCGGCCTCCACTCCAGCCTCCGCGGGGGCCTCTTCTGGCCCGCGGGCTTCGGGCCCAGCCCTGCCGCCGAGCCCCTCGGCGACGAGCATACTCCCAGGCCTCCGAGGGATGCGTTTTTTCAATCCCGGCGGCCTCGGCCTCCACTCCGGTCGGGAGTCTTGAGACCGGTGCCAATGCAAACGGGGCTCAGCCAGAGC